CCCCCCCCCCCCCCACCCTCGCGTCTCCCTCCCTTTTCCCTCCTCGTTGGGATTTGTTTGTTGAGAGAACGCATGATTTTTGAAGTTTAGTCAGATTTCTTGGACTCCTTCCGCTCAAACCTTGTTTTTGTTCCACTGAAATTTTTGGCAGGAATCTTTCAAATTCAGGGAGAAAATGGCAGTGGAGAGACAAGTGTTAAGAATAAGGGAGTATTGAGAAGGAATAAAAAGGAGAAGGGAGGGGATGGGGAAGGGGGTTAACACAGAAGCAGTGAAGGTACCACTGTGCACCATCATTTTTGAGGAGCGAATCTGGTGCAGTTCGAGGGACGGCTGATTTTCCTTTGATTTTTTTTTCCTGTCTCAGATGAGGCACATGTGTTTGCTTTTTTTTGTTGCTCGTACTGCTGCTTTCGATGCCAATCCTTTTTCACAATTGTTTTGTCCTTGTTCCTTCTTTTTTTATTGTGATGTGATTCGGAGGCGACTTTGTTGCTCCAGTGTGATCAGGCCTGCTCATCCGGGCTGATTACACGTTCATTTTTCCTACTTTTTCCTTGCACTTACGTCTGCGGTTGATAACACATGTCCTGCTGTTGCTGATATCGATGCAAACCAACGGTCTGCGGTTCGCTCTGGTGCAACTTTTCATGCCAAACGCGCCTTTTACGCGTCGACTGTAAATAAATTTTTAAAAAACTGGAGATGATTTGAGTGATTGATTGATTGTTCTTTCTGTTGCGCGTAATAAAGGAACGTTTTCCAAGACTCATTTGCTTAAAAGATTAACAGAAGCGATCGGAAAACAAGCCGATTAGTTAAGCAACAACGCTACACTGCAGGATTTCCTTGGCAGTAAGTGGCGGTGCTGCCATGCCCCACCACGTGTCACGGAAGTCTCGCGAAAAGCCGGCGAATATTGATAAAGGATTAAGCAAAAACTATGCATTGCACATTGATTCGGGATTTGACAGTTTAAAGTGACATGCGTACGAGTTAAGGGATAAAACACAGACTGCATCCTAACATGTCTTACGCATGACGCTTAGTTCACTCCCTTTTATTATGCGTTTTGTGCTATGTAAAAGCAGTACAAAACGTATATTGTCACGGGTTGTCTGTGTGTGTGTCCGCAGCAACTTGTCCACAAATTGCATTTCGGGGACCACAAAAGCTAGGAAGCTGATTAGGGTAACGTTCCCCACCTACGTGTGAATTTAAATCAAGCCTCTCCGCACCAGCGGATAACATGTACGGCCCCGTAAAAGTTTGGGCAGGTAAAATTATTATCACGGAAATCAGGGAGCTAGAAGGCTGAGATTTTGTGGGCATGTCTCCTGCCTACACGCGACCCAGGAAATTTAATTTCAGCCTTCTGCTAGCGGGTAACACGAACGGCCTCGTGAAAATTTTCACGGGTAAATTATTATCTCCGGAGCCACTGAATATACGAAGCTGAAATTTTAGTGTACTAACCTCCTGCCCACGCCCGGCCTTGTCCATCCAAATTCAGGGTTTTCGTGCTTTCGGGTATCACCTACGCCCCGTGAAAGTTTTGGCGGACAAAGTGGGAACCACTGAATCCAGGAAGCTGAGGATTTATGGGTATGTTCCTTGCCTATGCGCAACCTAGAAAATTTAAATCCAGTCTTTTCGTGCTCACAGGTGACATATACGGCCTGTGAAACTTTTGGCGGGTAAATTATTATCTCGGGGACCACGGGATCCAGGAAGCTAAAATTTTGGAGTAATGACCCCCTGCCCACGCATGACCTCGCAAATTCAAATAGCATTTTTACGCTCTCGGGTATCACCTACGGCCCGAACGGCTGCGTGAAAATTCTGGCGGGGAAATTATTGTCTCGGGAACCATAAAAGTCAGAAGCTAAATTTTCTGGTAATGTCGTTTGTCCACATACAACCCTGCAATTTTAAATTCAGCTCCCCGTGCGTCGGAGAATCACTTACGGCCCTGTGAAAGTTTCGGCGGGGCAGTGAAAATCATTCGCAGGCAATTTTTCGGTGAACGGAATTGCACAAAACACATGATCGCACCAGTTTACAAATACTCCAGTTGCTGTGTGAATCATGGGGGGCCGGTAGTGTAATCGGTGACATGCCACGATTCAAAGGAGAAGTTCGCTTACTTATATGCAGTAAGGAGGAGTTCGGTCCGCGACACCGCTTGGACTTTTGCGGCTTAAGAGTAGCAGTGAAAAGGCACAACGAACCATTCATTGGTTGCATACGAGAGTTAACATGGCGAAATGGCGCACTGTACTAATGATTCCCACTCCATTCCGCACCGATCCTGCCTTCTGTTTACAACCCCACCCCCTCCGGCCTCCAGTGGCACAGGTAGCAGCGCTAAAACTGTAGAAAACTCTCTTTCGCACCCTCTGTCGCCCCCTCCTCCTCCCGGTCATTGCCACATAGCAGTGGGCTCACTTCCTCCTCCCCTTCGCTCGTTGCCCGTTTTTCCCCCTCCCCCTACCAGAAGGCCACCCTGGACCCATCCCTGGTTACAGGTGACAGTACCCGACGGGGAACTACTAAATGGTTTTGTGCTGCATGTAACGAGTTTCTGCTACAGTAACAATCGACAGCGTCCTGGCAGGATTGCCTCATCGCGCCCTTGGGTTTTCGAAAATACAGAATCGCGGATTGATATGGATGACGAGATGCTGAAAAGGGAGGAGGGGGGGAGGGGGAGGGGAGAGCGGCAGATATTGGGCGGGGCGGAGATGACTTTCACCCCTACCAACTGACGTGACGTATTGTGAGGTAGCACTGCAATGGTCAAAGGTTTCACTCGATGGTTGGGATAATGACCAGTCCCTCTACGATTCGCTCATTCGTTTCGATGGTAAATTGGTACTGGAATATGCCAGGGAGTCAAACCCCGCCATCAGTTTCTTGCTTGTAAGCAACCCTCAAAAGAGGAGACCATCGACAACATTGCCAGTGGATGGTCGCTGTTGGCATTTGCTAGCACTTGGGCTACTTCTCGAATGCCTTCGCTTCTCATAGAAAGTGAATACGGAGAGAGTTTTGACTTTTGACTTCATTTATTGTATATGCATGACTTCTTTTAATTCTTAAGTATTTGAATTTCTTAAGTATTCTTAAATATCGAAAAGTGTAGTAATGCTGTTGGCAAGATGCAACGAGAAGAGATAAGAGAAATGGAATTGTGAACTATATTCATTTGATATTCTGCGAAGAAGCCAAATTCTACAATCTCATTTAAGCTAGCCGGTATTTGCATTGGGTGACGTCTGTGTTTCATCCCTGAACTGTAAACACAGACGACTAAAATGGTGCAAAATGGGATGGGAATCATCAGTACAGTGCCCCACTTCGCTGTGTAATTGAGGACATGTTAGGCAATTTAGAAGAGGCAATTCATGTTAGGCAATTAAGTTTTCTATGATTCTTAAGTATTTAGCGATTCTTGGTATTTAGATATCTAAGTGGCAGCGCATTTTCTTTTTCTTATTCGCTGAGTGAAAGAGAAGGCAATC